GGGATTTTTTGGGGGGGTTTTTTTTTCGGTGTTTTTTTTAGGGGAAAATAAAGAATGGAATGGGAAAAATTTTTGGGGGGGTTTTTTGAAGGGGGGGTTTAATAGGGGGGGGCCATTTTTTGGGGGGGGCATTATTGGGGTTGGGGTGGGGTTTGGTAAAAAAAAATTTTTTTTTTGGGGAGGGACGCCTTCCGGTGGGGGTTTTTTGAAATTGGGGGGGAGGGGGGGGAGGGGGGAAATTTGTTTTTTTGGGGCCCGGGGGTTTTTTTGTTTTTAAGAGGGGGGGGAAGAAGGGGGGGGGGGGGAAATACCCCCCAAAAGGCCGGGAGGGTTTTTTTGGGGGGGAAAGGGTTCAGGTTTTGGAGGGGGGGGGGGGGGGTTTTTTTTTAATTTTTTTGGATTTCAAAAATTTTGAAGAATGGGGGGGGGGGGGGGTTTAGCCTTTTTTTTTTTCCCAAAAAATGGTTTTTTTTTTTTGGGGTCAAAGGGGGAGGGGCCCAAGGTAATTTGGGGGGCAAAAATTTTGGGGGGGAATTCCGGTTTTTTCCCGGTTTTTGTGGAAAAGTTCCGGGGTTGGGTTTTAAAAAAAGGGCCCCCCCCCCCCCCCCCCCCGCACACACACAAAAACGCCTTTCAAGCAAATCGCGGCTGCGTGACTTTCTGCTCCAATGAAGATTTTTTCGGGACACACGAAATGTTACACTGATAAAAATTTGAACAATCGAAACTCGCGCACTGGACGTATCCTGAAACCAGAGAATATTCAACATCAGGGGCTGACATACGGTATCCATCCATTGACATCCACGTTTCACAGCTACGCACACCGATCAAGATCCAACGGGCATATATTTGTCTGGACAGGCACATGGACAACGTGGCTCTAATCCCCAGCGGTGATCTTGTTCTCTCTGCAACACGAATAGAGCAGACATTCGCACCCCTTTGCCTGACCCCAATCCCAACAAGAGGTGAGAGCTTGGGTGCTCGGTCCTTGTTTCCGCCTGAATGAGGGCACATTCTACATTTACATGTGCCTGTGCAAGCTACTAATGTACACAAAATGATAGGGTTGGGGGGCCACCAATGGCAAGGGGTGGGGTGGGGGGAGAAGCACACTCACAGTCGGCAACAAAACAACAGTTGACAGAGCCAAGCCGGCAAAGTCAGTCGCACGAAACTGCTACAGCGGTCTGCCCATCGAGAACAGTTCTTGCCATGCCCGCGCGCGACCGCGAAAAAGCCGCTCGCCGTCCCGACCTTGGGAGTGTGCGTGCGGGTTACAGCTCCTCCTTGCTGTCGACAAATAATCTTAAATCTTCTCTCTCTCTCTCTTCCTGGCCGGATGGTGCCTACAACGCATCACGGGCGGACGACATGCACCACACTTTGGACCCGAAAAACGAACATCGACCACTCACTCCAAAGTCCAGGAGGGGAAGAAAGGAGGGGGGGGGGGGGGCACACACCGAACACACGTACAAACACGTGCGTTTCCGTTGGTATGTAGTTATGTAGTCCCCCCCGAAAGAGGAGAACCTACGAAAACATAAAAAAAAAAAAACGTCCATCAACAATGTATTACAATCGGGGGGTGGGGGAAGAAGAGGGCTACATCTCACACGTTTGTTTCCCAACGCTGTCCACAACATTCTTGGCCCGAAGCGTTCGGCATCGCACTTCTTCGTACATCAAGCCGACAAGGGAGACAAAAAAAAAAAAAGAAAAGGAGAGGAGCATCGGTCGCCCAGCGCCCTTTCCCTGGTCGGCGCCTGCGCCGCATGTGTTGTGCTACAATTCGTCTAGTCTACACGTTGACACCTTCTCCTCCTGCCCCGTGCACCTAGCACGCCACCGCATCCCCGGTATTAAATCCGCCTCACTCCACCACCCGTCTCTATCTAGTATGTGCATGACCCTCTCGCTATAAAATAGGCCTTAGCGTTCGTTCGGTCACGTTGCCGCGGCGCCGCCCTCTGGTCGTCTCCTGGCCCTTTGTCTCCGCTCCCGCTCGCCCATGACCATGACGAGCAGCATCACCAGAGCCACGAGGGACACCGTTTCCGTCGTAGAAAACACCTCCCCCTCCTCCCCTTCTTCGTGGCGACCATCGACCTCGTCGTCGCCGGCGCCGGCGGCGTGGTCCTGCCGAGATACGGTTGTAGAGAGTATAGGCCGCGGTTCTAATTGTTACGCGAGCGACGTGTATTTTCACCAATGTAACAGGGAAAATGCAGCCACGAGGACCTCTGAAGGGTGCGCTGCGCTCGCGAGGAATAAACTTGTGGTCGGTCTACTCGTCATCTTGACGCGTGTCCATCCCGAGTTATAGAGCAAATGGGATCGTTTACATGCTTGCCATGTGGTGAGGCATGTGATGAGGAAGGAGGGGGGGCGAAGGGCGGCGAGATCAACGCACATGGCCCCCTTGTGTCGCAAGGGCGGGGGGGGGGCGCGCGCGTGGGGGGGGGACTTCCGGGCGATAGAATCCTAATTTTTTATTGTTGATACCATGTTGGATCCAGGAAAGCGACAGTTGGCGCGCGAACCAACCCAACCAACCATCCATCAACCGCCAACAGCAGCAGTATCTCTCCCGTATCTGGGGCTGTCGCAGCAGCTGCACCGAGTTGTGTGGCAAGACGTAACAACGAACCCATGTATTGTGGTGTGTGATAGCTCTTCATACCCCAGGTTTTTCCAAGCAATGAAGCATATCCGGAAGC